TCATGATATATATATGCTTGGTTGGAACCCACAACCATCTCACTTCTTTGGCTCGCCATCTTCTCTTATCAATAGGAGTGATTTTGAGTATATTTAGTATGTTGAATATGTGACTTAGATGGAATGTATTTATATCCTCCCTTCCTGTTCCAGAAGCCGCCAATTAGCAACCCCACTTTTTAGAATTACCTAGTACCTTCGCTTCGTCAAAGATCTAGTTACTGGGTTTATAAAAGCTACCATGTTTCGGATTTCAAAATCTCCTTCTTTAAGATAGGGGTATCTTTCTTTCCACTGCCGCCCAGGTCACGTATTGTAGGTTATGTTATACTGTTCACTCCATCGTCGTCTATGATGCTCAAATTGCCACCATTCTGTACTTTTGGTCGTTTGGAATTTTCTGTTTGACGTTGTGTTTTACGGTTGTTGTTGTTGCTGTTGTTATTGTTGCTATTATTAGCACTTACCGTTGTCTATGATGCGCAAATTGCCACCATCGGTCAAATGTCACATGTTAATCTGGTGAATTAAACGGCAACAATGTCTCTCATCGTGGTAAGGTATTTCGAAGGACCTAGCGCACATCACTATTTCACAGTGCACTTTCATGGTCTACTTTGAATGCGCACACCAGTACTGAATCGATGTTCCTGATCCAATTTTTAATAGCTAGTCTAAGTAGTCTTTAAAATCCTTAAATAGTCGGCCGAGCTAAAACTCCAAAGGAGAACTCTATGCAACGACAGAAAACTGTGTCAACTCAACCATTCTCCTCGGCAACCCGCTTTCGTTGAGTGACCATGGTCAACCCCTCTAAAACGCATATTCGACATCTTCATCGTCATCCTCATCATTCACATCCACATGATCAATCCCAGCGTCACTATACGAGTTAGCATGGCACACAATAAATCTGCATACAAAGTTTAAGTCTTACCGCTTGGCTCTTGTGATGTGACTATTGACAAGCTGTTGCTGCTCGTTATTCGCCGCAGTAGCAAGATTCTTATTGGCCGCCTTATTGACACACTTGACAATAAGAACATTCGATTTAGTGTTGACCGCGGCCGTGTATTTTCCACCGGACCAAGTGTGCATGCCAGTGACCACGACGTCCACCTGGTCATCTGGGATTGTTCCGCCGGCCTTTTGCTCAAGAATTCCATCTTTCTTGATTCCGCCGGTTTTGTTGTAACATGTGTAGGTAATCCTTCCGGCTTGCACGTTGGCTACCAAGAGAAGGAAAGCTAGGGAAACGGTTTTGAGTGCGTACATCTTGAAGGAAGTTGGAAGTTCTGTTTGATGGTTAGTGACGGCTTTGGAGGTTTGGATAATGGGTCACAAACGATGAGGATAGTGATTGGAATTTGACGGTGAGAAAGTGTAGTGGGTTGTTTGGAAGTGAGTATGTGTGGATGTGTGGATGTGTGGATGAATATTTACTTTCGCATTGGAATTGACGATGCTTCTTATACTTCTTCCCTGGGCTTACTCAATGCCTCTCGTCTCGGAGGGTGACATCCATTACGTTTACTAGATGTGGTGATGTTACAAACGAGTGAGACTAATTGACATAAAGCCAGGAACTGATTACTCTCTGCAGGATTGCAGGCAGAGTGACCGATCAGTCAGCTAGCTACAGCGATGGCTGTCAGCGATCGGCGTGAATCAGTATATCATCAGTCAGTCAGCAGAGAAATAGTCTAGCTGCATTTAACTTATCAGCTGAAAAGAATGAAGATTTATTGATTTTGAAATGGATTTGAGGCATTTTTGGATATATTTTGGAGAGGGGAAAGATGACATCGAAAGAGAAAGATATTGAAGAAGAAGGGTATTGAAAGAGGAGGGGGGTATTGAACAGAAATCAACATTTAATCATCAAATAAAGATCACATCCTAACTACTTGAGTAATAAATACAATAGTAAGAGCAAATACACTCGTACTTGTCACATTTCAATACCCCAATAATTCAAGTCCTACCAGTCCCTCTAGTTCAAGAGTTTTTGTGGAAATCCCAATGTCCGTTGCTGATCATTTTTTTACGCATAAATTGGACTTGGATCAACGAGGTCACTCAGTCAATGGCGATGGGGATATATCGTCAGCAAGTTAGCTGGGGATTGAGAGTCAGCTGATCGCTGATTGACTGACTGATTGGCCACTCTGATTGCAGGAGTATAGACTTAGGTATACCGGTACTTGACATCGAATGCCATTTTAGAGTATGTAAGAGGCACCATATGAGCCGTTCATCTCCTTGGCAATCCTTCGATCTCAATATTGCGGAGGTGAGATCTTAAAGTAATGTGCCGGGCTTCCGCAAATTATACGGGTTTATGATCTGCCAATTCTTTCTCCTCACTTCCATCACGAAACTGTTTCAAATCTGGACAATGGGAACCTTGTCAAGTTGCCCTCGATTGAAGATCCTCACTACCGCCGATGTCACCCTCAGATCCTCAGATCCTTCACGATGACGCCAAGATGAACTTTCATCTTTTGGGAAAGGAATTTGTTTCTGTTGACATAAAGATCTGCATTCTTGCAGGTTTGTATAATCATCCATTCGGTGTAGGGAATATTCAGCCTTTTCTATGAATCCGCAGTATAATCTGATTTAAGATTGGAGGAAGTAAGCAAAAAAAGCAAAACGATGTAGGGGCTGTGGCTGTGTTACGTGGCTTGTGGCGCAGTGGTACAACTTCATCTTGTAACGTTTCCTTGAACACTTACTTCCCACCGGACATACATAAAATCTCTTATTCTTGTCAAACTGTCAGATTTATGTCAACGGGTAAGACGAAAGGAATCTAATAAAGTTATATCGAGAGCTTGACTATATCAACAGAACACACGTCTTTGCCATTCCAGACCATAGAATACTACATCCACACGCTTGTCGAAGAACAGATGTACGTTATCCTATTTCAATTGGAGGACTCGGAACAAATACTGATTGAAGTATACAGAAGACCATGACAACAGCAGCGGCAACCACCCTCTCTACATTTCCTCAGTTCATGAGCCTTGCTCTAGAGCTACGCAATCAGATATGGCAGGATGCATTGCCTAAAAAATTCGAACCGGCTCTCTACTTTTACAAAAAAGGCTGCTGGCAACCTCTACATATCACAGAACTTGACCAAGATCCCGAATATGATCCCGAAAACAGCGAACACAATCTACGTTTAGAGTTCCGCCACGACTTATTGGATGGTCGAGTGAATACGCCCTTAGTTTCCGTCAATCATGAAGCACGTGACATTGCTGTTGCTTGGGCTCATAAACATGATCTCACTATCAAGGACAATCAAGGGCATCCTATCTTTGCCCGTCCGTTCAACCCAGAGCGTGATGTACTATACGTTAGCCCTAGCGAACTGGAAGAGTTTTGCCTCGAGGCTACCTATCGACCTTTCGAGCCTGATATGGTGAACCGCAATTATTCAATAAGATCATTCGTCAAAAATCTCGCCATATCTGAACAAACATGGCGGGAGCAGATTGGGATAGACTATCTCATAGAGCCACTTGAAGCTTTTCCATTGCGGGTATTGGTTATCGTTATCGATGCGCCGCCAGAGTTACAAGGCGTGTATAATGGTTTGGGGATACAACCGCGTTGGGAAGTCCAGACACAGGGAGGAGAATATATGTGGGCTCTTGGTGAAGACCAGTTTCGCTTTCATGGTAGCCAATATGCTGGTAAGGAGGATTTGTACAGGCTTACAGAGGATCGTGGTACAAGGCTAGCTGAGGAACTCAACGCGCATGATTTCCCCAGTTTCGAAGTTCAGCCTGCTTTAGTCACTAGGAATTAAATGAAGATTTATTGGGAGATGCAACGACACACATGGTTTATTCTACCTTTCAGTAACTATTCTAGCTTACTGTTCTTTTCCAAATATTCCTCCAACCTTTTCATTTTTCTTGTTGGAAATTTGAAGCTTTCGATGATTGTGGACATTGGTGTGGAAGGGTGGCCCAAAAGTAGGGTGTCAGACTTATGGTATGACTGTATTATACTAAGCTTTTAAGTCGCATGGTGCTATTGCTATGAGCTCTACCACCACTTTTTACTTTAAATGAAACTCTAGTAGTTGATACAAGTTCTCATACCTTATCTATTCTTCACCATCCGGTAGAACGCGAGTGATCATTCCGTGGACTGTTTCACGCTGTACCCATAACCCGGATGTTTCAAAAAGTACTGTAAGATTTTACGTTGTGAAATTAGCACCTCATGCAAACTTCTCTTGGCCTAACTAGCACATTACCTTACGTAAAGTAAAGCCCTAGTTAGGCCCAAAATGCGTAAAGTAATGTGATTGAAAAAAAAACAATTCGCTAAAAGAAACTATATATAATTAAAGATAACG